TCTTGCGTTATCTGTTTATTCCGACTTTCCTTGACTCTTGACAATTCTCCCGATTGTCATTTCCACGGTTTCGCATTCGAAGGCGCGTTCACAACTCGCGGCGAGAAGTCCGACAGAGTTTCGACTCTTCTTCTATGCTCGCGCCAATTTACTCTCGAAAGCTTCGATCGACGGACTAATCGTCATTCTACGCGAGTAATTGATACAGAAACAATGATCAAAATCTCTTTAACGCGTTGATTGCCGCGTCGCCCACATGTGATTGACGATCTGAATTTTTAATTTTTGCGGCAAGAAGGGATATAATAGTATTTGGTAGAATAATGAGTTTTTCATCAGTAAATTATTTTTAAGTTGAACGAATTAAATCATCAAACATCAGTATAGTAAATTATTAAATTATTTTGAAGAAGCCGCAACTACTTTATTTATATAAAAATACACAATACTGTAACAGAGTCGTTTGTGATGTATTGGAAAATATTTTAAACGAAGATTGAGGGAAACTGAGATTTAGGGAACTCGTTGTAAGTTTTCTAAATGGTCTGCGCTTGAGGGATGCAAAGGAATGTGTAAAAACTTTTAATTTGACAAGGTGACGCTGAAGAGCACGTCCATGTCATAAATTTAAAAAAGAAGGTAGCGTAAAAATAGAAGAATAAAAACCAAAAGCATAAAAAAGAGCGTAAAAACTACAGAATACCTAAGCGAATAAGCTCTGCAAGAAACCTACCCGATTTGCGATCAACGTATTAACTCTTTACAGTCCACGCGGTATTCGACATTTCGCAATTAATGCTACTTTCAAAATTTGTTCATAATTTCGAACCTAATAACACGCGTCTGTGTTGGAACATTTCTACTGAATCGACGCGTAAACACAAAAGGATATCTGTGCCAAATTTCACGTGCTAAAATCCGGAGGAATCGAACGAAATGGAATATGAGTACGACCACTGGATCGTTCTATCAGTAAATTTAGAATTCACGCAATTGATAAGAAAACCATAGGAAAAAATCTCTTGAGACTCTCTTCATAAATTATATTTATGAAGGATAATCGATCACGGACTAGGTTGACGGTAGCTTGATTTCCCGACTGTGTCCGCGATTTCCGTTGATCTCGGAGAAAATAGAGAGGACAAGATAGTCGTTAAGCACCTTTAAGCGTTCCCACGAGGATTCCGGATGGGCGCCTCGCCCGGTGCACTATACCACCGATGTTCCATGCGTAACCGAAACGGATAGGTAGATCGGGCTTCCATGTTTATAGGCGTGCAATGTAGCGCGTACTCTTACTGTTCGCCACCTGTGCAGTGTATTCACTCGGTTTACCCTGTATCCGCAAATGTATCCGCAACCCTGTCCTTGTATACGTTTCATCGAGTAGTTGCAAGTAGCTCTATAGTTGCTAGCTATCGTCGCATCGTTGTCGATCAGCGAGGAGAGTTTGACACACGGCAAAGTGCATCTCTCGCAGGATACATCGAGGTTACTCCGTGTGCTATCTTCCTGATGTCGCGTCGTGTCGACATGCAACAGCTGTTTGAACGACTTTGGGGATCGTGCAGACAGAAGAAGCGGCAGATAAGTTGATTGCACTTGTTTCCTTATCTTTCTCGTAGCACGCCGTTTCGTTAGAAATTAGAAATCTTTATCGCGTTTCGATACTTTCCTGTTTTGTTGATTATTTTTTGTTGATTATTATTTCGTTTCCTTTCCTGGTTTTGCTTCCGTGTTTCGAAACGCGCGAGGCACAGCATCGTTTGGCAAAATATTTCATTTATTTTTCGTAGAAACGTGCAATATCTCTACATCTAGTCCAAATACGAATGTCCCGGGAATTAGATATTGATACTTTCAGAGGTAAGAGATAGGTGCTTTGACATATTAGTGCGCTGTTATTACTGGAATTTCGACGCCGTCCAACTTGTAAACACAAGGGCATCGTTTAGTTTGTTCGTGTTCGTTAGCGGAGAATTGGTCACTGGTTGTGGAGTGAAAAAAAAAAAAAGGAAAAATAAACGAAAACCGGGATACACGCGGCCAAATACACACGGTGAAATTTTTCTCTATATTTCGAATGGATTGTTAGATATGATATCGTATATTTTCATCGACAACGGGGAAAAATAATTGACGAATGTCGCGACTAGGGTTTTTAGTTAAAAAAAAAAAGGTTTTCTCTCTTTTAACTAAATCTCAATGAAAGAGATTTTCGTTCGAAGAACGAAATCCTAATATAGCCCAGTTGAAATGTTTATTCATGAATGAATCAAAATACGGAAAAGAAATCAGATTCTGTTCGGAGTTCGACGAAAATTGTTTCATTGTCCAGCGTAATATTTTTAAATTGGAGAACTTCTCAGCGACGATTGATCAATCTTTTTCTAATCAGCCGGACAAATTTAGCTGGATGTAGATAAACTGTCCTTAATCCAGTAATCCCTTTACAATTTTCCAACTTCCCTGCACCCATCCCAATGCTGATAGACTTCGAACGTGGCTCTATTCTAAACGCACACATACACACACAGGCACGCATGTCCATTGTATTTAGGATTTCTTTTATAAACTGCATTCACGAGTTTATCGTTTATATTGCCACGAATATGGAGTATCCTCTCCATTTCTGTATCATTTCTGTATCATTCATGCTGCTTCGTTCGTTTCGATATGCACGTACAAGTCATACGTTATACATTTGCCCAGGGATGTGTATTAGTATCAGCATGGATAGAGACATCGATTCCTCGAGAGACCAGAATCCTCACCACGTTACATATCCTGCGACGTAGGTGACAGCGATCGATAGATTGATTACAGAGTAGGAAACAGGAAGATATCATCTACGTTCATTAAGCATAATACACTTTTATGACATTATTTTGATAATTCTGCCAATTAGCACTGTCTACGTGGAGATGAACAACTTGTGTCAACTGTCTATATGTACCTGTGGTTATGCACATATGCCATCGCTATACCTGGGAGAGTATACAGTTTCAGATATGCGCAAACGTATGTGTACGTACATCCATGCATATTTATAGGTGTACCCGACAGTTTGATGCGTTTCTTGAGCCTAATGTCTAATTTATATGTGCAATTTACGAGACTTCCCAATGTTTCAAAGCGTGATACAGTTGTTTCGGAATTTAAAAAATTAATTCCACGCGGACGTTTAATTCGGAGGTGCACAAGTGACTGCTGTTTGATCGTTGAATTTAATAGTAAATTTCTATCCCATGTATAAAGTAAAATTCAGTATTTACTCCGGTGAAAGCATCAAATTTCTGAGATCGACGTTGTAAGTGTGTATACTAGTATGAATAAATTTAATTTATATGGAAATCGGAATTTCAATCTCCGTAATTATTGCAGGGAGTAATATAATGTATAAATAAGAGTATACAGACAGAATAATCTAGAAGATTGATTGATTGAGCACATTGAGAGAAAAATATCAGATTAAAATATCTTCGATTTAAATTTCATTTAGAGGTCATTAAAGTATATTCTTTGATCAAAAGAGTCGTGCAGAACTTGAATCAAGAATCATTAAGAGATAATTTATTGAAACATACAGAAACGAAACACGATTTGATGATCGCTGCATTATTCAAACCGTGAATATAATTTAATTCGGTGAAACGCGATGATTTTGTCGTTTCAACTTGTTAAAATTGATAATGAAATTGATATTGAAATATTAGAAAGGCTAGAAATTGTTAGAAACTTGACAATTACAAGGGACCGAGGAGTAAATCCAGTTTCACAATTGTAGATTTGAATGCATCGTGTTCCTCGAGTTTGATGTTATTGAGGTATTTGATTCCATTGGTCACTGAGATAGTCTGTGTCGTATTAAGTGCAGGATTTACTGCGTCGTGTCGGGTATAGCCGGGTGTGGTATGAGCTTGTATCGAGTTGCAAGGGTTTAAGATGATCTGTATTGGGTTCGACTAGTGTTGGTTTGCCGATATTGAGTCCCAGTATGTAATCAAGTCAGCTGGTACTGAGTCTTTAAATCATCTGTATTAAATCGAGTGGCTTAGAAACTTGTAATATTTGATCTCTAGTAAATAATAATGAATTCTTTAACCTTCGCGTGTTATTAATAAATTGAAATCATCACGTTACACCGAGTTTCGGTTGTACTACGCTTTCGTAAAACATTGGTCAGATCTTTTGAATACAAAACATATAGAACAATCACTGTTTTAAAGTAAAAATTATATACAAATACTACTTACTCGATGAGAAAATTGAAGGAATTGATCGAAGAATATCATCATTCTCCTTTCTTCTTTCTTCCAAGACGAAGCACGCACAATTGTTCACAAAAATGTAACAGAAAGCACTTGTCAACGAAATCACGCGTGATCGAACATCGCGATTGACGTTGGCGCTGATGCGTATCGATACCTTTCGACAATCGAAGCAACTACTTCCCCCTGGCGGCCGCTAGGTGCCAGTGGCGCAGTTGTCGTTACGAATTTCGAAGGAATCACCGTGCTCGTGCGAATTCGTCGATTTTCGTCGCCTGTAATCAACGCACGCCGCTCGAATTCACGCTCAGTCGATTTTAAACGTTCGTTCGGCGAATTGCGATCAAGTTCAGTGGCGCGTCAACGCACAACGCTCTCGGTCGTGCAACCGCTTTCACCTTCGACGATTCCATCTCGTGTCTCCGCGTACGACACGAACGTGTATACATGGCGACGCGTCTCGTTGGCCGTGTTACATCATTGAATTCGCGTTTGAATCGCAACGCACGTGGTGATGTTTCAGTGCACTGTGTTTCGGTATAAACGTTGTCGTACGACGTTTTGTTCGACGACGACGCGCTCGCGCGCGCATGCGCGTTACTTGTCACGAATACCTGTTTCAAATTCAAACGCGAATCGCAGGTGGCGCTGCTGTACCGTCTGAGTTTCCCGCGAATTCTCCGGCTGTCGGATAAGAAGGACGTTACTGTGTTTACCGCGCGAGAATTTCTTTACGACAGCCATTAACCCATTTACGAGGTTAATGTGTCGAAAGGTTATGTTGTGTATATAAGATGTTTTTGGAGCCACTTCCAAACTCGAGAGTGTGTGAACGAACTTACGATGACAAATTCGCGAAACTGACCACGGTACATGTAAATGGATTAAACTGACGGTTTCGTCCGTCGAGCGTAATTGTTTTAACCAGCCGCGTGACCGACCGGTCGTGTTTCGTAACTAGAAACGGGGATAACTAGACGGCAGCGTACGATATGTTGGACTGTGATTGTTCGCGAGCTTCGTGATCGCGAACGAAAGTTTTTTGGCTTCATCGTTGCTCGCTCGCGACGTTACGGCATGCCCCAGTAACCCGGACTCTGCCCCTGTACACACTGGATGGCTGATTGGCGTCGAGTCACAGCATCGATTGGTTCTCCTCTTCCCGTACCAACACAATCGCGAACACGGCGAGTGGATCCGCGTGTGTAGGTGGATGCGGCTATTTGAAATTCCATTCCATCTTTCTCTGCTTCCTACGCTGCGCGGCTGATCCACTTCCGCTAGGATTACGAGTCCTGACAGGCGAGTTCTCGATTGGATGAGAAGGTGGGGAAAGTAGCCGAGAGCAAATATCCGGAGGGAAAGAGAGAGAGAGAGAGAGGGAGAGAGAAAGAGAGAAAGAATGTTCGACGATCGTCTGTGATGCGTAAGTTATTCTTTCAACAAAAGATTACGCTTTGTATTTTGTAATATACACTAGTTCGAGAGTAGTCTGAATATTTATCGCATTATCACAATCCGATCCGGCGGCGAAGGTGAACCATATTGACCTTCGAATGAAATTCGTCTCTTATTTGAGAATTACTTAATTTCAACGTCGAGATACGCCTTTTGACTCGTATGTTTGTGATAATGATAAAAATACAGATCTCCAAGTAGTTTAAGGTTGACCTAACTCTTCTGATTTGATATGTAAAAATAGTCGTAACAATCTAGAAGGATAATATTTCCTCGAGCGGTGTTTCTTAGAATTTAATATTGGGGAGGAGGGAGAAAGTTATTTTCTTACGTCGTCGGGGCCACTTTAAAATCACTTTGTACGTTCTAAATGGAATGTCGGATTGAGGGGAAACAAAATATGCCTGGGAGCAATCCTCGTTCGTGTACGAGGCCAGGAACTATCGAAATAGAGTAGAGGCGGGACTACTTTGTGCGATAGTATTTTGTTTACTTAGAAAACATGTTCGATGTTTACACACTTCGTTCTAAAATATGATGTAGTCCGTTAAGTCTCGTTAAATTTACTTTCTTCGAGTAATCCAAAGCTATCTCGCTTTTTTCCTCCGCTGTGTTTATTTCTATTCTATTTGCGTCGACCCAAGCTGCTTTCTACGCTATTCGTCAGCACGATAAAAATTGTTTAAATTTAGTTTGGAAACGTAATCAAACAACTGCTCGATTTTATTGTTTCACTATATTTGATCTCGTATTTTCACTGTTATTCCCTAATCCTTTTGCCAGATTCTTTCTACTGGCACTTGTTCGCGATACGATAACCAGCCATCGACCCCGACGATTCGTTCTCGTTTTTGCTCACTCTGCACAGCGGCACAGTTATGTTTTCACCCTTTTTTACTCCCCTACTCGCGACAGGTACAAAGCGGCCCTGTTAAGCCATGACCCGTCGGCGACGGTTTTACTCTGCTTTGCAATTCCTGCAAAAAAAAAAAAAAAAAAAAAAAAAAGTGAAAAGAGAAAAGAAAAGAAAGAAAGACGGAAGAAAGAGTATGGATATACACCACGCATGAAAATACTGCCAGTAGTTTTCGGAAAAATTGCGGAGTGAGACGTGGGAGGTGGGGGAGAGGGTTGTTCACGACAGTTTGTCGTGAATTTATCGAAATAGCTCTCAGCTCGGAATATAACCTTTTCGCGTTTACAGCTTTTTCTCCTGCTTTTATTATCGCCGCCTCTTGAAACCTTCATCGGCCATGGTGATTTCTTCCCTTTCAAGTGTAAATTTCGTTCTCGCGCGCGAGAAGTCGCCGCGCGGACGCTTCCGAAATACGGAAAATATGCATACACGTGAAAATGTGGTTTCGCTGTCCGACGTTTTCATGAATTCTAAAGGACGGGAACCGTCTGAGGTAACCTAGGGTAATACCGCTGTAGGGAAGAGGCGGGAACCGTGAAAAGGCTCGTTTGTTTATGCTCTTTTGAGTCGTACGTTTCAATGAAGACGCCACGTTAAAAAAAAAAAAAAAAAAAAGAGAAAGAAAGAAAAGAGACACCGGCGTAGGAAATGATCGTTGAGAGAACTCACGTTCATTCTCCAGTCCGTTTCCGACTGAAAATTTCCGCTGAACGTCGTATCTCATAACGGCCGAAAAACTTGCAGTATTTTACTCTGTCGAGGTTAGGGTCGAGGGTTGAATCCAATGCATATATCACGACCTCTGCTGTATTCAATAGGGACAACCTACGGAGGGTCAAGTTCGATACGAAGTGAGAAATTTATTTGCTTGTGAAAGGACTATGATAGGGTCGTTGGTTCTCGTTGTTTCTGCAGACTGAAAGAGCGCCAGGAATGTGCGTTGACCTCACTTGTCCACTTGCTTCCCGCTTTTCCCCGGTCGAATTGCGCTTACCTGCAACGACAAAGGGGTTCACCACGCGGGAACATTTGTCATTCCATAACATCTTTCTCGCGAAAAACCGTGAGGGGATCCGGGAATTGATCTCCCCCTTTGTTTCCCATTCCGGCGGATACTTTCAATCACCTTGTCGACACGTAGCCGCGAACAACAGTGTCGAATCGTACGTATGCGCAATTGTTAGATGTCAATTAAGCATTGAAGCGAGGCAGAAGCGCAACGTAGTAGCGAGGATTCACGCGTAATTTAACCGTATATGTTTTCCGTATGTGAAAAAAATGACACACCGTATCTCTTCATTAGTATACACGCGATAACACGTTTGATACGATACGCAAATGCACGGCAAAGTTATAATGACCAAGTCTGTCGTATGGCAATGAAGGGATTACCAAAGAGCACAAACCGAATTCGCCTAATTTATGGACTCGGCAAACTATTGAGATATCAGCTTACCGAAAGCGGCATCGAACTCGACCGGATAATTATTCGACTCACGCGAAGAGGACCCGATTCCATAGCGCAAACAGCGAATCGTTTTCATAGATTTCGATACGCGCCGATCTCTTTGGAATATTATTGGAATATTATTATATTTGGAATATTATCATCAGATATTGCGATATTATTGTCGACATTGCTGTTCGATGATTCCAATCTTCCGAAACTTCCACTCGGTACTAAATGTACGAAAATAACTGCGATTCCACGTACGTGGCGCACGAAATTCAATTTATCGAAATATGTATACTTTGTTCCGGAATTACCTACTGTGTACGGCTTGATTTCGACACGTACACATATATTTCGTTTTCGTTTTGCTTCCGTAACAAGAGTTTTGCGCGCGCGAGGGAAAATCCGTGTAATCGGCGATATAAACCGGAAATATGAACGACCGGAAAAAATGGTACTGGGGAAGTTCGTTCCTGGATTAATCCCAAGATTAACCTCAGCCGGGGATACTGGCGCCGTTACGTGCCAAAGAGAAAGCGATATAGGAGATTGAACGTCCAGACTAATCTCGTTCGAAATTAAGCGGCTTATCTTTCGTTGATGTAGTGCCCGTTTCCCGACCACTTAGTAGATTCTTCGTGAGGGAAGCTGCCGTGTCGCCGACGGTGCTGAAAAATTTACACACTCGTTTTCGACTCTGTTTCTCGCAAACGTGTGGTTTTATTCCGCGAAGAGAAATCTTCGCTAACAAACAGTTCCACGACCCCTTTAATCCACGGATCAAACCGTTATTTCCCTTTATCGCGTTCTCCGAATTTCACGAAAACTTCCTCGCTACCTCTCCGTCCATATTTTTCTTTTTTTCTTTTTTTTTTCTAAAAAATTACGGCTGTATTGAAAATTACATCGAAACTCTTCGAATCTCTTTTAAAAATGAATAAAAAGCCGAACTTTTTTTTAATTTTGCAAACGTTTTTTGACGTATAAAAATTTCTATGAAAAAATTCCGCATTGGTCATTTTTGCTTTGGTATCGCTTCGATATTAATAAACGGGATATTTCATGTGTGTTACCGATCAATGAAAATGTTAAAGAATATTAAAACGCGAGAGTATCTCGCGTGATAATATTTTTATCGCGCATCGATTCTCGATAGTAGGATTTTATCGGTTGCGAACCTGACGCTGTGCAATCTACGATTTCTAAAGTTCGTTTCGTCGATGAGCGGCTTCTTCTTCGATGAGCGGGGGGATGATCATTTCTGGTTATCTTTACATAGAACTGCGACTGATTGATTTCGTGAATTTATCATGGGAAACTCCGAGGCTCCGTTTGCCACGGTGTAACTCGTTGCGGATGTATTCAATTATTCGTCTGAAATTGAATGTCTCTAGGCATTTTGTGCACTCGATACGCCACGATTGAAATGCATATAATTTGATTGGGAATAGTCGAACAATAGTGGTATCATGCGCGAATGCGCACGCACACGCACGCATAGAAGTGTATCTATTGTTCGAATGGCGGATCTAAATCTAATAGACGAACGAAATCCGTATGCGGAGCTACATATGTTATTTCTGAAACAATGTTCGATCGGATCGTTGAGGATCGTGAGGATACGTCGAATTCGAAATAATACCAAACAGCAGAAAACACATCGAGAGATATTTCTCGCTATATATGTATCGATAATTTCAGTCCAGAGCTTACGCCGAGTAAAGCCGGATGCGGTGGTTCAGGAGAGAGAACGAATTATTACGTGGCTTTGAATAGCTCAATTATTCCAAATTGACTCGCGCGATTATATTTTAGATATCGTAGATAATTTTGTTTATTCATATGCACAAATAGAGTTTGATTACACTGCCACACACATGCTTTGAATACTTACAATTAATAAAATCCGAAGCTGCGAAACGTACAACTTTAAATGGCAGCATTTTGCTGGAATAAGGTTTAAACTTTTATAAAACTTAAATTAAAATTTTTCAAAACACGATACATTAGTATTTAAATAAGCGGTTACATTATTACTGATATTTTTATTTATATATAGGTATTTACTTCATACCAGATTTTTAAATTTCTCGTCGCCAATCGTTCACATCACTTATGATAATAACCATTTGATACCATTAAACACGCAGCACAGGATAGTTCAATATAACGGGGCTAATTAATTTGCAGGAAGTAAATTAGTGATCAATTCATAGTATTTGCGTTGCTCTATTTAATTGTGTGTAATATCGTGTCTGTTGATTCAACGAATCATCGATCCTCCCTGTTTTCAAAATTAATCCACGCGTATCCAATTTCATCAGAGCTTGCAAGAATGACGTTCGATATATTTTTCTTTTTGCATATACCATCACTATCGCCATGCGACCTATCATTTTTTATATCTAACGCTCTGATACTCTGATCATCTTGCAATCGGTTTTCATTCGCAACTATTACGAATAATTAATGCTAATAACTACCATCTGTCACTGTCAATCTAACGATTGAGCAGGACGAATGGAGATGGCTGGTAGTATCATTCCATGCGCCGCACAGACGTGAGAATAATATTGGATTTTGACGCGACGCATATCGGCCATTTATTCTTGCAACGGACGAACGCGAAGTTTTGCAGCTGATAGCCGGCTGATCGATGACTCGATCGATAGCCATTATCCACCTTAATTCCTCGTAGTCGAAAGTTTTTATTCGGACCAAGGGCCATTGTGAACAATGGGTGCACAGAGGTGGGATCAACGTAACTCGATATTTGCATATCGATTTTTTGGCCCGATGCAACCACTGTGTGTGTATGTGTGCATGTGTGCGCGTGGAACATTACACACAGCCGTAGTATTAATAACAACTTGGATTGCGTAGCTTTATGCTAATATCTATTAAAAAGTACTTATCGAGATGGGCTTAAGAAATTGAGTAGGTTCGCCGAGGATGTGCGAAGAACGATCATTTACAAAATGATCGTTCGCAGTTTCCGTGAGACAGGCGGCGCTATCATCCGAGAATCGTTTATCAAACGATGATTTAAAATTCGTTCCATTAAAAATATGGATAACGTCGTTCTTCTCTCCAGCGAGAAGTAGGTGCAGCGTAATGGCATCACGAAAGTATGGCAATAAATAAGCATTACCTACCTAATAAGTGCAAGTAATTCCGCGATATAATTCTAGTTTGCATCGCTCGCGTTTCCTAATTAGCGCAGATTGCTCCTCGACAGCGTTAATTCCTCTTCAACTTCCTTTTTCCCGAGTAAAAGGAAGTTCTTACGTAGGAATGACGGGACGTTGTAAGAAACACTCCTTTAACTTCTCTTTTTTTTTTTTTTTTTTTTTTTTTTTTACCATCGCCAAGCCTGCGAGACTCTAAGTGAAAGTACGCCGTGAAAAAGCGCTCGATGTCGCTCACCGCTCGGACGTGATGAAATTAAGAGGCTGAACCGTATTCCAGATGCGACGCGAAGCGTCTTCTCATCTCCTCCCTGTTTCTTACTCTTTTATCTTCCTTAAATCAACTCTCTCTCTCTCTCTCTCTCTCTCTCTTTTTCGCCTCGCGTTGTTTCATCTCTGCCGAAAAATTCCGTCATTGTCGTGCTTCACGTGCAATCGTTTGCACCCACCTACACGCTTACGTACAAACGAAGGAAACGAGAAAACGGGCACAAGCGCGTGCAAAAACTTCATCAGCTTGGCGCGTCTGATTTTTTCGTCGTGAAAATTCTCTCCGCAGTTTGTTCTGTCTTGGTTTAGAATAGATTATCGTATTAATTGTTCAGGCATTTTATGTCAGGCGTATTGTATTTCAAGTCGCAAAGAGAAATCGATTATTTTCAACTATTATTTCATTATGAAATTACGCGAAGAACGAATAAGAGCAAATAGTAAGTAAAGCAATGAATAAGAGCAAAAGATGAATTTTAAGAATTATAAGGTTTTATTGCAAACGAAAGTTGTACGTATAGACGCCTTTTGAAAAAAAACGGTACAAATCGTTGTGTTGGGATCGCTATATTTTCCGGATGGGTTGTTGTACTAGCACAGGAGAGTTCTAACATCAGATAACATTCAACTGTATTCGTATCCTCTGCCATCGTCGACGGCGACAAATACGACTTTTTTTCGCGAAGTACATCATTCCGCTAGCCATTCACCGTCCTAGTCCTATATATATATATACAGTTTCGAAAGATACATATATCTTTCGAAACATGTACACAGCTTTATTCGTCCTCGCGATATCCGGCGCATTTCGTTCTTGGCAGCAACCCTACGGTTCCACTTTCCCGACGAATTGCTTGATTGAGCAGAACGCCTTTTCCAACATTGTGACCTATTTCGATTCATTTTTCAGGTCGAGCGAGAAATGTCTTGTCTGTCACATTGTTCTTCAAGTCGACCATTTGACACTTAGTTTTTAAAAAATAGTTTGGTGCATTGTATTCTGCAACATTTGCAGTCAATGAAAGATTCTCGATAATTTCGACTGAGAATTATAATTACTCGTAATTAAAGATCATTTATTCGATAATTTTTCGTACGAAGAGGTTATATAACGATCCGCTTGATCTCATTTTAATGCGCAGAGCCCTGTATTTTGTGACAGTCGTGAATTTGTTTCCCTTCTACATCATGCAGCGTTTATTCGAAAATTGTGAAAATTCAAATGCACTGATAAAAACATCAAAAACATTTTCGACCTGCCATTATATTGAAAATTGGAGTCCCCTTTACAACGACCCCTCGAAACTCACTATACCACTTTTTTCCCAACGTTTTTATTTTATTTTTAAAATTTTTGTCGTTTAACTGTAATATTCAGAGTTGAATGAAACAGCGTGGGAAAAAATTGTGCAGCAAATTTTAAAGGGTCGTTGCAAAGAGAAAGTTTCAATCTTCAAGACCATGGTAGATTTAGTCATGGACGAAAAACTTTTTAACATTTTTACAGACGTTTGAATTTTTACAATTTTCTGGGAAAAAGTATTCTCAGCTTTCCCATCCGCCACGCGTAAAATTATCTTCAGAGAAGAAAACGCGCTGGCGACTGTCAAAGTAGAGATAGTATCTTGGATTGTCAAATGATCGTTTTTTACTTTTACCGACAATTTTTCATTGTCATTGCTTAGTTATGCTCTTCACTGTGTATCTTCAAATGTAATAATTATCTCGGAACGTGAAACGCTAGAAGGACTTGTTTTAAATAGATATTGCTTAGTCGTTCGTCGAAATTTTGACAGACGCGGAATAATTGTGGTGGATATACCAAGCGTAAACTTCGTATTATAAATCACTGTCGTCAATAACATTGATCTTTGTCATCGATTCTGGCGACGAGCACAATGGCTGATCGGTCAGGGGTTCAGCGGAAATTTGGCCGGTTCTGTCCATTTCTGAGGTGAGATCCTGTTTATCGGTTGAGACAAAGCGACTGAATCTATTCAAGTAGCTGGTGCATGCTTTCGCTATTAACGCGACCCCACCGATGAGCCATCTGTCAACCTCAAATTTCGTACGTTCCACGGTGGTTGTTCGGCAAATTCCAACACCGTCTGCGCGGACAATACCTCCGCCGTTTCTCCGTGTTTACCAGAGAAGTTTACTCGAGCAAGTGGAAAGCTTCGAGTTCGCTAGCCTGTCGTGTACACGCTAATGATTAAAGCTTAACATTGTCTCCTCTCTAATTCATCTTCGATAAGAGTTACAATCATCATCTCTCGCTGAGCCTAAACCTAACCCAAACTAGATATCTGTCTCTTTATTAAGACACTGACACAACGTGAGTTGTGTCAAAAAATCGCGGATAAATCTCGACTATCGATCTGTCGTTTTTACGGATATTTTCACAATTATGAATAACATCGATGGGGGTTGCAGGCGTAATAAACAATTTTACCTCTCTTGACCCGAGCCGATTTATTTCAGGATCGTGGTAAGCCGAAAATGGTATATTTGCGTTACAGTACCTGAGATGGTTGAAAGCTTAACTCGTAGCGATCGTATATCATTTCACGGTAGCTAACCTTTCCACCCTCTTTCCCTCGCCGTAACTTTCCTCTTTCTTTTTTTTTCTCCTTAGCTTCGAAAAGAAGCTTTATGAGTCTGGGATATTAGATTCGACCGAGCTTTCTCCCCCTTGTTCCTCTCCTCCCCCTCCCGTGGTAAATCTCGCTTTCGCGAAATGGTCTCTAGTTAAACCTAACCCGCGAAACTCGCGTTACTGCCGGATAGGGCGAGTGTATTATAATTTCGCGACAGCGTCAAATGCTGTGCAAACTGCTGTCGAATTCCCGGCAAGTAAAGCTCGCGATCTAATGGATACCAATGGTTGCGGCATTGCGTTGCTCTCTCTCTCTCTCGTTGCAAATACCTAATGTTCCGGCACGGTGCATGCCTAACGGCGATGAATTCTGAAACGCGGGCCATCGATACAACCTTTCCTTCAAAACGTACCTATATACATTCGATACACGCTCGCGATGGTGAAACTTTATCAATTTGAAATCAAGCCAAAACACACTAATGATGCCTCTCTTAGCCATTGTTACGGTAACTTTATCGTCCTGTCCTTGCAATAAATATCAGGCGGCGAAACGAGGCAACGTGAGGGAACGTGTAAAAATGGAAAAAAAACCGAAGCGAAGGGCGATATTTCGACGAGGGGGAAGAGCAAGCGTTTTTTTTTTTTTTTTTTTTTCACCCGGTTAGAAAAATATGACCGCCCTCTACGTCAAACCGATAATGGCCGCCGAAAATTGCTGGGAACCGGCGTGTGTAAATGTCACGCGGAGTCTTCGAAAAGAGCAGAAATTATGATGTGGCCGGCGCGTGTGTTAGCCTATCCCTCCACGAGTGCGAGAGCAGCTCGTTTCGAGGAGAGCGTTTATTTTGCAATGGCCGTAGATAAATATTCACGGCCGCGGTTTATCCTCACGGCTATAACGTGCTACGGAGCTCGTATCCGTGTTACACGGCGAGATAATGGACCGGGACCATGGCGCGTGTAACCACCTACGCTGCGTACAATGCGATTTATACGAATCATAAATAGACGCGTCCTGTTCGTTGATCATAATTTCGACTGCTCTCCGCCTGCTCTCTCTCTCTCTCTTTCTCTCTCTTTCTCTTTCTGCCATCTGTCCGTCTCTCTCCCTTTCCCCTACGTACGAGCAAAAGTGAGAAAACGGAGAATTCGTGTTTTATGCTGCTTTCAACTTCAGCGCGCGCCATGTTGGCGATCGTTAAGAAGTGAGTGGAGAAAAATGGTAAAGCACAGACAGAGAAGCGTTCGTAAATCCGGCAAACGTGTCTCGAATATTCTCGAACATCGAGGTGACATTTATCGTGTGCAATTAGAATCATTTAGTCGAATGTATTCCCTTGTCGCGTTTGAAATGAGCAAGTATCGAGATGATTAATCCATTAAGGAGTCGGCATTGATACATTTATTATGTAGAGATTAAATATAAGTAGTACTTATTTAATAACAATGCTAGTGATTAAACAATAGATAATTAAACAGGGAACACAGATTAACAACCTAATCAATCTGTTTTTTACTTGCTCGACTCCCTCCTTTTTCAAAAAGAAAAACATTCATACTTTCTTTCTTTTCATGCGCTTAACAAGTCATACGATAATTTCCTTTCTAGCCAATTTACACTATCTGGATTTCATTAAATTTCATATACAGAAATACGGAATCAACGCAAGCATAAACCTGACTTCTCGAAATGACATACAAAGAGTATTAAAATATCTCAAAAACATAAACTACTACACACATATCTAATGGCACCGTCGTCGCTAATGACCTCGCTGTCGATGCGACATTAAAGAAAAATAGAAGAAGAAGAAGTAAATTTCATATAATCACGTCACAGTCAGCAATATTTTAATATTACGTGCAATATTTCTTAAGTATGCGAAGGTAATGTACTTTCTTTTAGCAGAGATACGATGGGGCTATGTAAAGTTTCGAATCAGATCCGATAAACAAGAAAAGTTATTTCAACTTGAAAATCGAATGAAATTGAAGGCTCGAGGGTTGAGAGGTCTGCCCGATTGATTTCAATATTCATAGGGACAAGATCTACTAGTTGGTGTTTTAATTGGATCTCGCGAAAGTTTTCACCTCTTCTTCTTTCCCTCGTCGCCGGGAAGAATTAACGAAGCGCTGTCCACTTGGAATATAGATTAACCATCGGACAGATTCCTTCTAACGCGTTTCCAAAGGGTTTTCAGCCGTGGCCGATCGGAAATCGACTTTGCAAACACCTCGCTCTGTAATAGTTGATCGATGAGACGCCATTATATGGCCGGTCTCGATATTCATGGACTTGCAGTCGCAGTACACAGACAAAACAATAAAGTCGATGGGGCGCGCGATCGATCACTCGGGGATCGTATCCAGGCGCGGCGAAAATATTTTTGCCGGAGATTTTCAGATTGCCAGCGACACGTGGCGAGGATTTTGGTTATAACGAGGCAGCTGTTAGCCCCCCAGCTGGCCGGCAAAGTGTTCGGGAACTTTTTAATAAAGGGGCAAATTGACGACAACACACTTCGGAAAGAAATATCTCGAGAGCAATTCTTTTTTTTCTCGTTCTGGCTGGGTTCTACGTCCCTTGATTCATTCTCCTTGAAAGTTGGCCGCGTTATTGAAACCTACTTTCCCGCGTGTCCCGTTTCCTTTCGGCTTTTAATAGAACACGGCGATTACTTTACAAGCTAATAGCCCGCGCCTCTCGATCAATTGATCGCGACAGTGTAAAAGTACCTGGATCGTGGCCAATTACCTAATTAGGATCAGGCAAATTTACGCGGGTTCACAGCCGACAAGTTCTCAAACTCGATTCCCTCCGAAAAAAATCATAATTTTCGTCATTCTCGTCGCGAATTATGAATTTGAATTTAATTTGAGTCAATAACAAGAATTTTTAAGGAAAATATTTTTTATTTGTTAAATAAAGTGTGAAAACATGAAAATAAACTTTGCTGTCTGATTCTTTATAATTTTAAGAAACTGAAGCTATTTTCTAACTTTTAAGATAAGGTTTCTTCCTCGGTGAAAAAATTAAAACAGAATCAATTTTGCACCAGAATTTTTCCCAGCCAGATTTACAAGCCTTATCGGACCTTAATATTTTGTCGATAAGCCATTTGCTTAGATAATAGCTCTAATACGTCTTGGCATAATTTCAAACAGTCTTGAGCAGAAATCAGGTGGCATTTGATTCCATTGTAGCATGTAGTTCCACTAGTGAACTAGGAGGAGATTTGTATGTGCCTTGAATTTTTTTCAATATATCCCATAGATTCTCGATGTGCAGGCCAATCTAAGATCGAAAATGCCTATTTCGGATTCCGATCATGTTGAAAAACGATTTCTTCTACAGCGAAGGGCATATCTTGCATGTAATTTGGCAAATGTTTGTTTAAAATGTCTTTATACATGTATTGATTCAAAATCCCTTCAATTTTGTGCAATGGGCCAACACAATTTGCCGTCATACACTCCCATACGTATATACGCATATTTTATGTTATACGTATATATTTTCACGTTTTCATACTTTATTTCACAATGAAGCATATTTTTCTTAAAAATTTTTCTTATTGATTCAATTTTCCGAAGCAAGAAACGGACAGCCGAGTCGCAAGATCTCCCCAAATATTTCGGCAAATAAAATCCGTCGGCCGATCGCAGCAGCTCTTTCCCGCGGACCTATTTTCGAGAGAATCGAAACAGTATCGGAGAACGTATACAACAACGTCGGCCAGAGCATGAGAAATTGTACGGGGAAAGAAACGAGGGTGTAGCACTGTAGCCGAGTATATAATGCCCGTGAATATGTATCTGTTTCGCGTACGATGCAGCTTGCAACGGCGGCGCTAAACCATGGCGCTGACAAATACAACTCTATGGCGTAGGTTTATACGTCGCGTCGGATGGTAGTGCATCGCGAGTAGTCGGATGCCTGCGATCGTAAAATCCGGCGTCCTCGCTCGCGCGAAACTTCCGGAAATGGAAGCTCCGGGTGATCTTCAATTTATAGAAAGGGGCGAGGCCGGGTGGAGAGGCTGTCTCCGATTTATCAGTCGATATTTCAGCCGGGCGGCCACCCGGTTTTATTAAAACGGCTAAATTATTAACGAGGAAGGCCCAACGATATTAAAACGAACGGAAGCGCAATCGGTCCGCTCGGCTCCGCTGCGCTTAAATATTGCTTTCGAAAATTTGATCGGAGCGTTAATTATCAGATACCGAGTGGAGTATCCAATATCAATGTGTTAATGCACAAACATTCGTCCCTCGATCTGTTTCGATTATTTGCATTAACGCCTGGCTAGGCTGGCACGCTGAAAGGCTCGCGCGTTAATACGCGTAA